TGTTGTTAGTCTAACACTATGAACCAGGGGTGGACTGACAACTCATGGGGCCCCCGGGCAATAGGGGATCATGGGGCCCCTGTGTCCTTGCCCAAACTCAAAAAAGCCTATGAAAAAAGGTACCAGGGGCATCTCATGGGGCCCCCTACTGACCCTGGGCACTCGGGCAGTGTCCGAGTTTCCAAATGGTCAGTCCGCCCCTGCTATGAACATGCTTACAGGAGGGAAAACCACAGGAATGATCTTATTGGTTCTCATTTCATTGTTTGGAAACAGGCTGGGAAATGTTCTGGATAAAGTTGTACCTACTTAGCTGCAGCAAGTCTGCAGGAAGGTCCAAGACCTGGTTGCAGTGTCTGACACAAATGGCTGACTAGACTTACAAATTGGTTTGCAAGTAAATTAGTTCAAATACTGTATAAGTATTGCTCTTTGCCTTGACAACAGCTCCAAGTGAACAATTAATAGATCATAGTTATTTCAAGCAAACACAGCACACTGGTTTTGTTGACCCTTAAATTGTCCATTGACTTTAGATGACAGTCTCGTTTTCTGTCCATTTTCATCTGGACCTATGTTGTATCTTAAGGGCACCTTTAAATCAAGCCGTGTGAACTTTCTAGAGGGATTAAGTGATCAGACAGGTTAGAAAGCCTTGTCTGATTGTTGAAGTCAGTGCTAGCTATCTGCTTTTTTGCAAAGCCACATCTCCACTCTTTGCTCCATTACCTAAGCAGGAATGCTTTTGCAACCCAAGCATCCCCGTTTAGGGGATAAGCTGTGTCTGCAAACGTAGAGATGGTTGGATTGTGTCTGCACACCAAATCATTGTTTATTGTCTATGGCCAGCTTAAAGCATTCTATAGAGATGAGATGTCAGATAGAAGATCCTACTCTCGAAAGATCTTTTCATAACATGCATGATCATTTCTTTGCAGAGCCCTCTGGTTCTGGCCTTATCTTCTGGACACAGTGCTGATAATAAGAGAACAATTAATTCCAAACAAGCTCTTTTTTTTTTCTCTAGAGATTATTACATTTATATTTTCTCCAATCCATTTTCAGCTAGATGGGGCATTAATCCATATCTATAGGTAGCCTTTGTAGACCATAGGCGACCCTCCTGCAATGTGTTGCATAGTATTTGGAGAATATGTTCATTAACAACAAATATGCTCTTGGGAGCAATGCTTTATTAAATGGAGTTTTAAGAGTGTCTTTAAAATCAATATAATTTCCATGTATTGCAGGATGTGCCGATGTGCCATTCTTCACATAGTATGTTCATGTGCACAAGGTCATAAAATAACATGGCAGCTGTCCTTAGGAGCTCAAATGAAACCTGTATTGTGAGTAATAAGGAGGCCATTACTGATTCCCTTTTTATAAATGCTATTTGCCTGGCTGTCTGTGGACTATTTCTGAGTCAGCCAGTAAAAAAAGACGTAAGTCAGATACCCTTATCTGTATACTTGTTCCCTGTCACTGAAGCCTGCAATAATGGCCCTTGTATTTTTATATTTTCTTAATACATTTATTTATAACAGGTACTTATATAGCGCCGTCAATTTATGCAGTGCTTTACATATATATTGTACATTCGTATCAGGTGGCGTACAGTCCCTAACTTACATTCATACATACACATACTAGGGCCAATTTAGACAGAGGCAAAATCACCTACCAGCATGTCTTTTGAGTGTGGGAGGAAACAAGAGAAGAAACCCACAGGGAGCACATGCAAACTCCAGGCAGGTGTTACTGTGGTTGGGATTCGAACCAACGACCCTAGTAATGCCAGCGGAAGTGCTAACCATTTAGCCACTGTACTTACTTCCTTTATCCACATATTGGAATGATTAACTTTACTACTACTGCCGTAATGTATTTTCTAATGCCCCATACCCTAAAATCATACTAGTCTTTGTCAGGCATTCAAGTTAACATATTACAAAGCAAAATACCTTTGAGAACATTGAAATGGAAACTGACTTGTTCTGACTTCCAGGCTGCATGCCTGCTCTGAGTTAGTGATGGGGAACTTATTTAAACTACTACAAAGGCCTTTGTCTTGGAAAAAGCACACATTCTCGGAGTCAGACTATGGCATTTTCCATTTGAGCCTTGTCACACTGGTGTTAACTTTGTAACAGATTCTCTTTGTTCTTCAACACATAAAAAAAATAAATTGACTTACATTTAAACAAAATAACAATTTAGGTGTAAAAGTTTGTTATTATTAATTAATGATTAAAAAGGCGTTTAAATTGTTTGGGCATCCAAGATGATACAGGCTGTTTATGTAAAACGCATGGAAGGTGCTAACACTTAAGCTGGCCATAGATGGTTCAAATCTCGGCCCCTTCAGCAGGAACCGTTCAAGATTCAAACCATGTATAGGCAGGCTGAATGTACCCAAGTTGATCAATTGATAACCTTGGGTACAACTAGCCTGTCAGATTTTTACATGCAATTATTGTTAGCGGCTATCATAGCTGCTAGCAGTAATCATTGTGTTCTCCTGGTGGGGATGGCTCCCCCTGCTGGGAGAACACAATGATTTCATGGGAGGGATTCCATCAACTCTGAACCGTGGTTGCAGAAAAGAAAAACTCTCTAGTCTATGGCCGGCTTTTATACTTACAGCATCCTTTAATGTATATTTTTGTCAATCTAAAGTCAGGTATAGTGCCAGTCACAGCCAGCAGTGGAATAGCTTATTGAATGGTCTGTAGTTTAAGATTCAACACTTAAAACACACTTTTACCCAATAAAACAATTGGATACATCTTTCTTTTCTTTTTTAGTGTTTCTTACTCTTTTTTTGCTGCACCACATTTTTGCATGATATCCGTTTCCGTAGCTTCTGACTGAGCTCATGTGCATGACCAGATTCCATACATGTGCAGATGTGATTCTGGGCCTGTCATAGAACTGTGCATGTACAAAGAAAATGCAGTTATGGAGGTCCCGGATCTCAGGTTGTCTGTGCATGTGTGGGAAAATGTGGGACATACACAGATGTGTTGCAGGTTTTTGCCAGGTCTTGAAGGCTGGGCAGAGACCTTTAGAATATATGCGCACAAACTTGCTGGGAGGAAGGGGGGTTGGGACCATCATTATGGGGACTGAAGTCCTCTTTAAGGCTGCTTGTTCCCCTTTTCCTGAAAATTGGGGAGCAGTTAACTGTGGGGGCATTCAAGCTAAAAAGGGAAGATTCCAAATACGTAGAGGTCACCTTTATCAGGGCACAACCACATTCACTGAGTGGTCAGAGTACCCTAAATATCTTCTAAGAGATTCATTTTTTTAATTCTCAGTATCTTTAAAATAATTCCTGGTGATTCTGCCATGAAGGTCCCTGTCCAGTTACTTTCTGTTATGGGGTGAGAACTGTCTCCCAATTCTCTTCCTGTGTTTTCACCCTGTCACATATGTCCTTAGGGGAAACTACAGGCCTCTTGCAAGTGTGACATGTCTATAGGTATTGGCGTATTTGACCATACAGCTTTTGGTTGCGTGTCCAGTTGCGTGTCCAGTGTCCCTGCTGTATGGAGAAGAGTGAATTGCTATAGTGACATATACAGAATTTACATCCCTACTTTCTCATGAGAAGAATGACAAATATACTTAGGTATTAGTGATCTTTTCCAGGTATGTAGAGTTCAGAAACAAAAGACACATTTGTGAAAATATAGATGCCTACAATGGTCAAAATAAGCAACCAAAATAAAAACTATAAAAATACAAATCACTAAAAACACACTGCCTTCCCTCTATTTTCCATTATACTAGCATTTGAAAATATATGCAATAATTTAAAGAGTGGATATAAAATTTAGAGCATCGTAAACATTTTTAGTAGTTACATTGCACAATTATAGGGACAGTGAGATTTGGCTTCTGAAGCTCTTCTAGAGCAAAACATTTCCGTTTAATGCTAATGTATAAATGGATGTTGGCCTACAGCAAATAGACCATACCCTCAAAGAGGTAGGAGGGGATACACCACACTGGATGGCTCAAAAATGTTATCGGATTTTCTTTCCATCTGATCTGATATGTACTTAATAGTTGTTCAGCAAATAAGAGCTCACTAGCTTCTGACTGATAATATCCCCCCCCCCCAACTAATCTGGTTTTACTGTGCATACAGGGCTCTCTCTCTTTCTCTCTCTCTTGCACTGAATTCTGTGCGGTGCAATTTGAGCCATACATTTTGTATGGCTCAAGTCGCACCGCATCCACAGCAAAAAGGTGCAGGACCCTTTTTTTTTTTTTTTTCCGCACTAGAATTGGAAGCCAAGGGAGTGGATTTTTTTCTAAAAGGAGGGATAGTAAACCGTATCAAAAGCAGCAAATTTTTTAAATCACAAACCATAAATATAGACAATACAGATAATCTACTTTTCAATATAAAATTGCAAATGCATAAATAAAATATAAAGTTACCAAGACAAAGAAGAAAAGTAATTTCCTTTTCCTCTGTGCAGGTATAAAGTATTAAGGTGCATAGTGCACCTCAGGTAAAAGAAGTATTATTAAAAAAAAAAAAAGAATATGGAATCAAGAGGTGCCTACAAGCAACCCCAGATATCTGGTGATGTTAAAAATTGTCTACAAACCAATGTAAATTATACGGCCCTTATTCAATAAATAATGCAGGACACAAACTGAAGTGACTTGCACTTCTAAATTAGAATTCATTACATTAATGTGCAATGATGGGCAGCACAGTGGCTAAATGGTTAGCACTTCCACCTTGTAGTACTAGGGTTGTTGGTTTGAATCCCAGCCCTATCACCACATGCCTGGAGTTTGCATGTTCTCCCTGTGCCTGTGTGGGTTTCCTGCAGGTGATCTGGTTTCCTCCCAAAAAAAAGACATGCTGGTAGGTAAATTGGCCCTAGTATATGAATGTAAGTTAGGGACCTTAGGCTGTACACCCCTTGAGGGTTAGGGACTGATGTGAATGTACAATATATGTAAAGTGCTGTGTAAAATTATGGTGCTATGTAAGTACCCAAAATAAATAGAATTTGAAATATATTTTTCAGATATTTTGTAATAAAAACGCATTTCAACATGCAGTATATATATTATATATATATATATATATATAATATATAGATATATAGATAGATATAGATAGATATAAATAAATAATAATATATTCATAAATATATATATATATTTATTTATTGAAATATATTGAATATGGCCAAAATTGTAGCATTTCAATATATTTGGGAAGA